CTCCCCCCGGAGGTCAGCTCTCGGATATTCAGCGACCTGGACGTTGAGAGCTTGTGTCACGCGGCCGTGACGTGCAAGGGCTGGCACCGCGTCATCGAGAGCAACGACCGCTTATGGAGGCACCACTGCTTGAGCGTGAGGGCTGTCTGCCAGCGGGAGATCGACTGCGATCGAGGAAATGGCTATTCCTGGAAGGTAAATTTAACGGCAGTGATGTAATGTTGGCAGCGCCGAGGCTTCTGGAAGCGGTAATAGAAATACGTAAAGAAATTATATCAGCACATCTCACCTGTCCCGGGCTAACTGCTGTAGTCGCAGTGTGGCTCGGTAGCGTGCCCCAACAGCCGACATCTGGTTAAATCCACAGAGTGATGAGGGTCAGGCTGGCCCCTTTCCCACCCAGGACCATGTCGGGCCGGCTCAGCACACCCCACTTAGCCCTCACACTGCCCCGCACGGCCTCAGTGCTGATATTCATTGTCTCGAAGTCTTCACAGCCCTAAATGAAGGAAAGCCCACATGCCAGTAGACCGGGACGGGGATATAAAAGAACGTACCCCCCGGTTGTATTTCATGGGAATAGCTCTGCTGGTGAGGAATGACTTCCCAGAAATTCATCCTGGGTAGCTCTGCCTTTGTAAGTCTTGAGCGATGTGCATCCAGGAGGAAAAAATAATGGCATAGAGAAAAGGAAACATGCAGGAGCTTCAAGAAGCTGTTTGGAGATCTCCACACACACTCCGAGTTAACAGCTGCTCCAAGGAGTCAGAAGCTGAACATGCTGCAAGATCGATCACTGTCGAGTCCAGCCTGCATGCTGAGGTAGATCAGGAAAGGATGGGTTTCACACCAGCCAGAGGGTGATCCCCACCTCATTTTAACTGGTATGTTTGAGAGCAGGGGAGCAGTGAAGGGGTGAAAAGAGAGAAGCAGCAGCAAAAAAAAATCCCAGTTCTGGACTTTCACTTCGGTTGAGTTGGTTCAGTACGAGGCAAAGCCGTGAGGAGGTAGTGGTTGCCCTTCAAATGTACAGATCTTACTACTCTTGCACAGGAATTTCCGGAGTGCCCTGCACTGATTCTCTATTTTATCTGTATTTTGGAGAAGGGATTTGAAGTAGAAGCAAACTCACACCAAGTCAGCATTTTCTTGCACTAAAAGGCTGGCTGAAGAGAAGAATCCAGCCAGCCTGCATTACCAGCCCAAACACAACTTAAAGGTCATAAGTAACCTAAAGAGGAAGAGAAAGGCACCTCTTTTAAGGAGTAAGGAGGAAGAGGAATTCCTGGCTTAGGGTTTTCATCTTGACCCAATTTAGATTCTCCACCCAATTTAGATCAGAAAAGTTGGAAGTAGACCAAAGTCTGCTTCTCGGCAGCAGTGCACCTTCCTGGGCTTAGCATCTACATATCCACAGACATGTTCAAAATCCTTTTTTCTAACATTACTCTGCCAATGCAAAACTTCCTTGTATTGAACAGAACTTAGATCAGTGCATTTCCAAGATTTGAGCTGTCTGTTTTTCCGTCAGATCACATTACTGAGAAACTACTGGAAAAGCAAAGTGAAGCAAGAATGGCTGAGCGGGAGATACAGCAACATCCCATCACAAAACAGCTTGCCAGAGAAAAGCATGTATCCGATGGATGTCGACACATGGGGAGAAATCCTGGAAGCGGAACTTGAGAGATGAGAAACCAGTGCTGGTTCTTGCAACTCAAGAACCTCCTATCAACATCTTACAGACTGCCAAACTGTAAATATTTTGCCGTTCAAAATCAGTTGTGTTTGCAAACATATGATGAAAGCTTCTCAAAAAAAAAAAAAAAGTTATGTCTATTTTTTTATTTGCACTTTATCTGATTAATTTTCTGTAAAATTCTAAAGACGAAGTATTCAGTTGTAATTTTATATTTCTAAGTTTAACATTCTGCTGTATGGTCAAAGATGTTGATTGTACTTTCAATTTGCACTTTTCATTTTGCAAGAGATTACTTAAAAAAAACACTTTTGACTTGAAGTGTGTCATAGCAGCAGCACAACACAAAAGCCCACAAAGGAGGGCTGGGAAAGGGACAAATCCAGCCATGGGAAAGAAAATAAGGGGACAAGGCAGCCACCTTGGAATCAGCTGAACATCGCCAGTGCCCATCTCAAGGGACAGGAGCCCTCACAGGGATCTTTTCTGAAGCTGCACCCACAGAGGTGTTAGTGCTCAGCAGCGCTGCATTTCCATTGCCCGGCTGTGGGATTTCTGGATTAGGACTTGCAGATCCAGGCGCCAGGCAGGACTGAAGCAGCTATGTAACTAACGGCCTCTCTGCTATTAGCTATGCATTTTAGTCATTCGCATGATGAGGCGTAGAGCAAAATTTACTACTTTAAACAGAGTAACTCAGATAATGATGCAAGGTGACACAACCTCATATGTTTTTGTAGTCAGGCTAAAACGCATTCAGAAACTTAATTTTTTCCTACATTATGATCTCCCATCACACAGACCCTGCTTTACCAGCACTGCTTTTTGGCACTGACTTTAAAAATTGCTGCTAGTAAAAGCGAGGATGTCTGTCACATTGCTCAGCATAAAAGCGACCACAAACCAAATTTATTACAATTCCGTTTGACTATCACCTTTCCTTTTTTTTTCCTACTTTGCAGTAATGAGTAAAGTGGGAAAACCCTGGGAAGGTCCCTGTTGCTTGAGATATTCCTATAAAATTCAGGCACCAATCTGGGACAAATTTTCTGTAGAAAGATTTATATCACTGTCCTAGGTTACAGTGTAAGATGTGCCCAAAAAAGGTATTCTATCAACATCTTCAGGAGCTGTTGAGACCAGGTGG